GAAAATTTTCAAAGATTTAATGTATTTTCATTAAATAATCAAAAGAGCCCCACCCTATCACTAGAACTCCGACACTAGGGCCATAAAATCACAATTTTGGAAGAGGAGTTCTTGCTCATCATAACTATGTACTTATTTTATTTAATTCCTAGGAGCAGAAAAGAATTTTTTTTTCAAAGGATTCAATTATATAATCAATAGAGCCCTGCCCTAACACCCGAACCCTAACCATCGGCCATCAAATTCACAATTTTGGTAGAGGCACTCTTGCAGATCATGATTATGCATTTAGTTTGTTTTTGTTTATCTAATACCCAGGAGCAGAGAAAAAGATTTTCAAAGAATTCATATATTTTCACTATATAATCACTAGAGCCCCGCCCTAACACCAGAACCCCTGACGCTGGGGCCATAAAATTAACAATTTTGGTAGAGGCACTCTTGCTCATCATAACTATGCACTTAGTTAGTTTATTTAATACCAAGGAGCAGAGAAGAAGATTTTCAAAGAAATAATGCATTTTTTCTTTATACTTATTTAGTCCCGCCCTAGCACTAGAACCCCTGACCCTGGGACCATGAATTTCACAATTTTGGTAGAAGACTCAATGCTGATAACAATCATGCAAACAGTTTGACTGCTTGATGTCCAGGAGTAGAGAAGAAGATTTTTAAAGATTACATTAATTTTAGTGGTTTTTGCCCCACCCCCCAGGCCAAGGGGGAAGCAGGGAGTATGAAATTCACAATTTTTGTTCCTCTTTACCCATAGATGCTTTGTGCCAAATTTGGTTGAAATTGGTTTATCGGTTGCAGAAAAGAAGCTGAGTTTACTCAGGTGACCTAAAAATCAAACCCCTTTATCTCAAAATATAATTTCCTGTATTTTCAGACTGGTTTTAAATTTAGTATATAGAATACCTTCAGAAGAAATTCATGGATCACATGTTAACCTAGGCATTAACCACATCTATTTTTAAAATAAAATAATTCATTATTCTGTTTGCGTCAAATGATATATCACTAAATGGTCTGTCAGATGATGGTTCCAATTGATCCATAACGAAAGATTTGAGTTAGATACAGTGTAAAAAAGTCTTTAAAGTCTTTGCTTGTTTTAATTTTAAATTAAATTCATTCTTCAGTTGTAAATTTGAGAGGTCAAAATACTGATATATATTGTATTATGTTTACGCCGCCATTCCGCCAAAAATATAGTCACTGCTTGATTTCAAACTCAACTTACTATTTCTGCTTCAAATTGTTTCCAACTATTTGATAATGGGAACAAGCTAAAATATAATCTTTGGGCCCTTAACATCTTTATCAAAGATATATAATTTTATAAGTTAGTAAATATACATTGAATAGTTCATTTAGTTAGAAACCAGACAAGAATCTTTCATTAAGAAATATCCATTTACAATATATATATTTTTCTTTAAAAAAAGATTATTTTTACCTGTTTCGTTTAAAGGCGACGTCTTTATTTTAATGATACTCTCTGCACAGCATGCTGATTCTGGTTGATGTTGTAGATTTAAAGTGCAAACGTCTTTTACGTTTAATGCTTGGATCCTAGGAAATATGTCTGTCTTCCGAGGATTTAGTACGTGCCCCTTCAGGAATACAAGCAGTTCTGCAGGATGACCATTTGATATTTGATCTTCATATTTGGAGATTAAATCTCTGAGTGCAATTTCATTTTCTTCTTCAATTTCTTCAAATATTCGTTTTTGTTGTCTCTCGTCTTCTTTTGACCTTTCTATATTTTTCATAACAAGTTCATCTACTTTTTCCTTTAATATTTCGCCTTCTTTTTTATATTCCTCCCTTCTTTTTTCAAACCATTTTTCAATTTGAAACATGCCCTCTCGAGCACTAGATAAAGCAAATTGATCTGTTGGTATCCTTTCCTTGAGTTTTGAGATACTTTGTTCAACTTTCTCTTTTTCTTCATTCCACATTTGTGAAATATCAACTATTGGATGTCCATTATGTTTTGTTTTCATGCATTCTGTACAGACTGGAAGTTTACATTCTACACAGCATGCAAAATATATATTATTTTCATGAATTAGGCATTTCTCAATTGTTGTCCCATCTTCATGCTTTTCTTTGATTGTCACTATTTCGTGTCCGGAAGGGACCTTGCTTTTTAAATGAAATTTTCTACAGGATAGACATAGTTCGTCGGTACAAGTACGACAAAAGTGCGTAGCAATTTCAATTTCACAATAGGTACATCGCAATACATCTTGAGCATCAAATGCTAACTCCTCATCACTTACCGACTCCCAATCCAGATTAGAGTGTGGTAAATCCACCTCTATCAACTCATTTTCCATTGTTTGATAAAGGTTCGAGAAGGAAGTAAATCTTTATATAAAGCACTCATGAAATATTCCGGTCTTAAAGGTAAAATGCTAGAGGATAAACATTTGACAGTTCACTTTCAAAATGAAACTTTGTTAAGCAATCCATATGCTCCAGTTTTCATTTTTTATAGCTCTCCGTATTCTCTCCGGTACCTATACATATACAAATCAAACCGATAAAGAAATGCCTTTCAAAATTGATCGTGAAATTAAATACAGTTAAGGTTGTGATAAAAATAGGTATCATACTATTTTGAATCCTTTGTCGACGAAAATTTTAAGACATAAGAAAAACACAAATTTAATAAAAACAACTCATCTGTAACACTATCGTTAATTTAAATGCAAGTCTAGATGCATTAAAAAATAGAAATATTTTTTTTCGTCCCTTGAGAGATAGATGCAGGAGGAGGAAACGTACACTACACTAGGACCTTATGTTTCCTATCCATTTACAACTATCAAACCTATTTGTTCCGCTACAAAATATCAAGCATTGCAACAGCATACGAAATGGAATCAGGTTCCTGTGAATGGTTTCAAAATGTTGCCTTTTTTAGTCGCTAAAGACCCTTTAATATGCAAGTATATGCCGTGCCTTGCTACCTCGGAGTTTAAAGATTCATGCAGAATACATTTCGATCCTTTCGAAAATAAGGGTCACGTCTATCCTGCTTTACAAGCATGTATAGTATTGTTACGAGGTTTTTTCATGAAAATATTTTAGATACTTGATATATATAACTCCAAAACGTTTACAGACTCAATACTTAAAATAGATTTAATTTCCAATATTTGAGTGTGCCTTCTTAAAAAAATATGTTTCTTCGTGTTTATATAAGTATGTGTTGTACTTTTATATCTTTTGTTTATATTAAGATGCTAATTTTATATGTCCATATATTATTTTGTACAGGGAAAGTTAAGAATGGCATTGCACAAAATATTAGGTCATAAAATTACTATATATGAAATTATAGGATATTTGAAATATTTGATATGTTTATACTACACAGAAGCTTACTAATACTTACAGGTTTATCATTATTAAGATTCAACACAGCACGATCTTACTAACTTATTGATCTTGGCATCATATTGTAAAAGTTAAGGCAGTTTGTACAAAGTGAAAGGCTTATCAAATCACATTTTATAATATAAAAAATGTTTTGTAATATAATAATATAATATAATAAATTAACGTAGAACCTACGTCGTATGATATCATAACTAGTGAATGTGTTAAGCTTGTGCTAGATCTATTATGACGTCATAATTAATCCAATATAACTTTTTCCCGTACTTTACAGCTTCAATAAAAATTGTAGAAAATACTGCATTTTGAAATTCATAGAATTCAATTTAAAATCATACCGAAATAATCTTAATTCAATTCATATATTTTTTAGTTTATAATGCTTAATGACAATAGATTTTTGGACTAAGAGAAAACCTGTAGACACCTTTCATTTACTAGATCTTGACCTTTATTAAGTTAAAAATTCCAAGACTATCTTGCGCAATAAACTTACAATGTATTACAACTTACTGTAATAATGTGAATGGTATGTAACGTTTTTGAAGGAATGCAAAAATCCTAAGAACTCTTCAGTTGCCAACTAAATAGTGTAATATCTTGATGAAATGTGTCTAAGTCAAAGATGTGAGTGTTGCAGATCGTGTGATCGTGTGTACATTTTTGTGATATATATAATAAAATGACGTGCATTCCTTTTCATAAATATTTGTTACTTATTCATATTCTTGGTGTTTGATTACAATTTTTCTCTTAAAACATGATCTTTTTAAATTAAAAATACAATTTTCGATAAACATTTTTAATCTAAAGGTAACCCTAAACAGTAAAAATCCCGTGTAAGTGCAAAAAGGTCAAGAATATTAGCATCTGTAAATAGCCTCTCTCTCATAATTTGAGGCGAAAGACATATATTTAATCACTTTTTGTAATTAACTGGGTATGTTCTTCATCATATTATGATTGAAAACATTCTGACAAAGACTTCTGAAAAATTTTGACAAATTTAAGGTAGAAAATTGACTAAAAATGAAAGAGTTCATTTGCCTTTTTTTTAAATGTGGAATTATCTTTCATGTCAATTAAATAAAAAAGTAATTACTCTTGAAAAATATTGCTTAATATTGTACAGTTAATAAAGTCTATAAACGATAATGTTTGAAGAGATATTTTTGTGATTTTTCATATTCCCTTCTGGACAAGTACCCCTAAAAATAATAATAAGTTTCATAGTCTGTACTAGATTTAAAAACAATGAAACAGATCAGGAGCTTTTAACTGATTGATGAGCAAATACTAATTTATCATTTTCAAAAGTTTTAAAATCTTGTGACAAAGACTCTTCCGACATAGATTCTACCTTAAAAACAAAATGTCTGCAGATATACATGTATAAGAGGACTTAAACTTGGATGGAGTATTTATTTTACGACTTTATTATATTCTTTCTGTACATTCCCTGTGCAATCGTTGTATATTTGTTTGCAGCTACATGTATGAAGAATAATGGAGGAAGCCTGAAAAATCATACATTAGCGTGTGCATACCCTAAATAGATAATGCAATGTTTAAGCATAAATTTAAGAAGCATTATAATATTTGAAAACTGCTGTTATCCCGATGAGATCGATATACCAAATTGATTAGTTATATCGATAATACACAGAGTGTTGAAAATTATTATAAATCAAAATTTTTGTATAAAGATTTTAGGACATAGTTATGCCCTACCAATATTGTGTTACAAATGACCTTAATTCGTAAAAATTATTTGTTTAAAAGACATGACTCTCAAATTTTCTAACAAATCTAAATTAAAAAAAAACATCTTTTTGTCCTAAGCATATATAGATGTAAGCAACTTAACATTATTTTGTAAATGTTAATTGTATCAGTAAAAGGAAAGTCCTAAAAGAGTCTTCTATTTTTGTAAAGAATTCATTTTTAATCTGAAAAAATTACCGATATTTCCACATATCAATTTACATTTAACTGTAATGTGTCATTTGAAAAAAAAAAAAAAAAAAAAACAAGGTCAGATTTAGTATACAAAAAATCTTGCCTGGTTGTATTCAACCTCCAATCAAATTTAGACTTCAAACGGTTAAATTTTTCTACTTACTAAAATTGCTATTGGCTTAAATCTTTGAATTCTTTGCTCATTCAGATCAGTAGGTCAAACACTATATCCAGGGCATGTCTAGTAGAGAGAAAACCTATAAAACCATACGTTTAAGAATTACTTTAGAATACTTTAGAATAGTTCAGTTCCATAAACTTTAATATGGTTGCTGATATAAAAAAATTGTAAGTCTGGTCCAGCAGCTTAGTAAAAAGTTTGGTGAAGGTAAGGCAAATAAGTATTTGGAAATGGACACGCACCTTAACTTTAGACAGGACGCCAAGGTCGACTCTAGGTGTTTTGAATAAACACAAGGAGAGTTACAATACACATTTCGAACAGGCCACACCGCTCACTTAATTCAACATTTAGTTTCCTTTCGTCGACATGTGTTACTCGATGGACCATAATACGAACAAATATAAGTGTAAGTTACATGAGGATGTTTCCATTCTAATATGACAAATAGCTTGGCTTTGTCATTTAAGAAAGTGACTTAAATGACATTTTTTTTTACAAAGATTTCTCAAAAATAAGGTGCATTGTGACCGCAGCCGTCATGATATAAACATTAATCTGTAACTTCTGAAGATTCTTCCACATTCATAGGAATAACTAGATATTTACTTTTCTGGATAGATAGTCGTTCTTGAAAGGAGTTTTTTTAATGGTTTACCACATAATATTCAGTTTTTGAACATTTTACTCCCATTTTAGGGAAATTAAGTCTAACAAGTTAGTATGTATAAAATGAAAAAAAAAGTTATGTCCATAAAGTCAGCTTAAAAGTTTGTGTTTGTACAAAATGACATAGAGCGGAGGACATTAAGAGTACATAGTGTTCAAACCTATAAATAATACATACATATATATATATATATATATATATATATATATATATATATATATATATATATATATATATATATATATATATATATATATATATATATATATACTTCCAATTCTATTAACTATCATAAAAAAGAACTTATATCTAATGGAAAAATTCTCGAACTCAAAAACATAAGCTATACATGTAGTTTATGATATTGTTGAAACAAGGTTTTTTGGAATGAATGCTTTTTAATGTTATGAAAAATTCGACTTTTTTATGATCTTTCAGAAAAGATATTAGCTCGTGGTTTTTTTTTTTTCTCAAATTTCTGACAAAGGATGGAACATCTGATTCTTACTAATTTGCAAATATTAGCAAATATTTGTGAATCTGGTACCAAAGAAAGATTTGCTTTCATATTTGTTTTTAGACCCCTGCTTATTAAGTACTTTTGAAACTTATAAAAGGGTTTTGTTGACCAATATGATCATCAAAAAAGTTGTGCATTCTGATAATGAAATTATAGCAAGGATATCTTGACATCGTTTTACTTTTATTATTTGAAATATGATTTTTACCTAAAAAAATGATATTCACACTTCAAGCTCTTGTACAATCCTTTAAATACATAAATCAATGAAAGATTTTGTTAGAGCTAGAAGGCATATTTACCTACATTCGGGTATCCCATAGTCCTTTGCAGATAAGAAAGAGGCACATACAGGTAAAATATTGGAAAACTTTAAACAAAACAAGAACCATTTAACTATTTCCTGCAATATTATTCTTATATACCACATTCATACACTGTTACGATATTTGAAATCAGAAAGGTATTTAAAGAATATTAATTACCTAAGTACTGTAGGTTTGCACAGTTTAATTCTCAAAATGTTTCTATTTTTAGCTTGACTTATTGCCCAAAGAGCAATTGCCGGCTTATGTGATCCTGTTCAAGACAGGATGTTAACCCCATAGTCGCCATTTCCAACTTATGTGCAAAAATATAGTTCTTACTCTCAACCGCTTTTGAGATAATACAAAAGCTAAATAAAGCAACAAAAATAAAACGTAGTTTTATCTATATAAAATAAACATTAGTAGTAATGACTTTAAAAACTTCATA